AACAAATGAATAATCGGTAGAACTCATGAAGAACCGCTGATCAAAATTAGAAAAAATATTGAACGCCATACGTTAGGAAACGCATTTTGTGTAACTCTGTGTTTTGTGGGATCTCGCTTTGCTCGTCCCATAAAATCCCATCGTAAGACAAAATGGAGCGTTTACCTACTGGTTACGTAAATATCCATTTTTCGATAGATGTAGGTTTCTTCAAATTTGTTGTGAAATGGTTGCACTCTTCTTGAATATTATCAAGAATGCAATACAATAGTTATCTTCGTATCTAGAATGCGGAATGATAATTTTGCGTTTGAGAATGTGAATTATTTCACTAAGCTGCTCTGTCCTGGGTATCTGCTCTGTCCTGGGTACCTGCTCTGTCCTGGGTACGAACTCCACACACGTTTCAGATTCAAGGGAGGTCTCTGCCTCTACTCTAAAACGAATCTCTCATGTCAACGAGAAAAAACTTTGGAACCAAATAAGTTTGATGTCATGTGGTTCAAACTCGATAGCCAGAAACAGACCAAATACCTTTGTTGTCTCTACTTATCACCAAATGATCCATCCTATGAAGAGCTCTTCGAATTCTTGTCTCTGAAGCTTGACCAAATTCAACAGAACCATCCAGCAGCAGAAATCATCATCACAGAACGGATGAAGCTGGGCGACAAGCCGAAGCTTTCGCCATCACTCACGGCTTAGAGCAGCTTATCAAAGAACCCACACGAATTCCCGATGCCAATAACCATTCAGCTAACATACTTGACTTATTCCTCAATAATAATTCAGCACCCTACACCATAGATGTACGAGCTCCACTTGGCAATTCTGACCACACACTCATCTCCACAACCTGCCCATTTTTCATTCCATCAACTGCTTCGGCACCCCCACGTCTTATATGGCATTACAATTCAGGAGATTGGGACGGTCTCCGCATGTTTTTCTCTGAGTTTCCTTGGCATAGAGTATGCTTTGACTCTGAGGACCCTTCACAGTGTGCTGCGGAAATATCCGAGATCATCATGCTCGGAATGGACACATACATACCTCATTTTTCGAAAAGATCATCACCTTCGAAACCCTGGTTCAACAAAAACTGTTCTAGAACTGTTGCCTTGAAACAAACAGCCTACCATCGCTGGCGCAAAAACCCTAACCTCGCGACTAGAGCAGAATACGTTGATGCCAGGAATAACTGCAGCCAAACAATAGATGCTTCGAAAGAAACATACAATGCCAAGATAAGATCGAAACTCATAGATTGCCCCAATGGCTCCCGTTCGTTTTGGTCCCTTGCTAAAGCGGTCGGAAGAAATTTCACTAATAGTTCATTTCCACCACTGTCCAAATCCGACGGCACATTAGCAACAACATCGCAGGAGAAAGCGAATATTTTTGCAGAGATGTTCGCAGCAAACTCTACTTTAGATTCCCAAGGAAAACTGCCACCAGACATTCCACCCGTTGAGAGTCGAATGCCCGAAATCGTCTTCCGTCAACGCACTATCGGACGAATTTTGCTTGGTCTCAAAACGAATAAGGCTAACGGTCCTGATGGAATTCCACCCATTATCCTCAAAAAATGTGCACCAGAATTAACACCGATTCTCTGCAAGTTGTTTACCATCTCGTACAGGTCGGGTATTTTTCCATCATGCTGGAAGACAGCTAGAGTCCAACCAATCCCCAAAAAAGGGAACAAGAACCTGCCCAACAACTACAGGCCCATTGCCCTGTTATCAGTAATCTCCAAAGTGATGGAGAAAGCCATCAATATTGAGCTTATCAAATATCTGGAGAGCTCAGGAATCATCAATGATAGACCATACGGCTTTCGCCACCGAAGATCTACTGGAGATCTACTTGCCTACGTCACCCATTTATGGCAATCTTCAATAGAAAAACACGGGGAATCTCTAGCTGTCGCGTTGGACATATCGAAAGCATTCGACCGTGTTTGGCACGAAGGACTCCTCCACAAACTACCATCATACGGCTTACCACCTCAGCTATGCCATCTCTTATCGAGTTTTCTTTCAGGCAGATCGCTTCACGTGGTGGTGGGCGGTGTATCGTCTGATACCATTGGCATCAATTCCGGCGTTCCACAAGGATCAATTTTGGCACCAACAGTATTCCTGCTTCATATCAATGATCTGTTGGGAGTAACAACTTGCCCCATCCACAGCTTTGCAGATGATAGTACCCTCCATATTGCGTTCTCTTCCAGAATTCCCATTTCTTCCCAGGAAACTAAGAACTCACGGCGCAGGCAGGTCAATGCTGTCAATGAAGATCTTGCTGAAATCACAGCCTGGGGAACGAACAACCTAGTTGAATTCAACGCCACCAAAACTCAAGCCTGCATTTTCTCTAGAAAGGCGTAACTCAGTATGCCCGATATTGTAATGTCTGGCTCCACCATCCCCACCAAGCCCACCATATCTATGCTCGGTATTTCCATCAGCAACACTCTTTCATGGGATAATCATGTCAGATCCATCGCAAAAGCTGCTTCACAAAAACTCGGATTCTTGTTCCGTGCGAAAAGCTACTTCACACCTCAACAGCTTCTCATGATCTACAAAGCGCAGATACGGCCTGTTCTAGAATACTGTTCCCACATATGGGGTTCAGCACCAAAACATACGCTGATGCTCTTAGATTCCATCCAGAGAAGAGCCATTCGCCTGGTGGGTGACACCACACTCACTCACTCTTTGACATCATTGGAACACCGTAGAAAGGTCGGCGACCTTTCACTTTTCTATCGATACTTCCACGGGAAATGTTCTTCGGAAATCTCTGCAATCATCCCTTCGCTAGCAATACCAATCAGACGAACTAGACAAGCCCAGTCAGCACATCCTTTCGTTGTCAACCTCGAAAGATGTCGAACAGCACTTTATCAAGACTCCTTCATCCATAGAACGGCTAGGCTCTGGAATTCATTGCCTGTGGAAGTATTCCCAACAACATATAATCTCCAAAAATTCAAAAAAAATTCCACTACCTACCTCCTGTCCCTATCCTCCCTAGGAACGCACGATGTTCTTCGAACATTATAGGGATTCCCTTTCGTGCGCTCCAATCGATAAAAAAAAAAAAAAAAAAATGCTTCAGCGAGGCAAAATCACCATTCGATAACGCGAAAGCAGAAGATAGAGGATATATCACTATTGTTAGTTATTCTTACTCGCAAGAATAATTGATTGAACGAATCAATTAATTTCCTACGCTTTAAAAAAAAATATTGTTCCTAACTCATGCTTGTCAACGTCATTCGCGTGCGGAAAAGTATAACTTTCCACACTTGTTAGGAAAATCACTATATCAGCTAAGTAACAGAAAAGAGCCACTTTCCTAGCTGACGCTAACGCAAACTTTCTTATGTTACAAATAAATGAGACGCAACGATGCGACGTGGCGATCGCATTGCTCATTCGTGCGACTGAAATTCTTTGACAACTTTTGGAGTTACTGTTACACTTTCCAACCAGAAAAAAGAAAATCATCATTATTATCATTCCTCACCTGTACAACCTCCAGTAATCGCTGAGGTACGAGCTGCTGATCCGCCACTCGTCCGAATAACTTTTATCTGCTCTTTCCAGCCAGGAGTGTCTCAGGGCCGTTCTGACGTCCATTCTCGTCTCGCTATCGTACACCAGTAGCCTGCTGATGAAGTCTCTGGCTTCGACGCTGATGTTCGACCACCAACTGTCCTCGAACATCCACTTGCCCGACTTGAAGGTAAAAATAAAATTGATATTATCGAAAGAACTACTGTTCAGTATGTACTAATATGACCCTATACATATAAGAGATTGGTACTTGTATTACCCTGTATGGTATACGAGATTTCCATTTGTTGTTGACATGTCGACGTGTTGTTGACAATACTATCATGAATCTTTTATTCATTTATTCATTTATTGAAAATGTGACTTCCAGTCAGAATCAAGTTTCATAAGGAAGTATGGTTAACAAAAATACCTACCTAAAATTATCATCATAATAAACTCATCAATAATATAATATATATATTTTTTGCAATTGCATTACCTCGTTGGTCCCAGCACTGGGACCAAACGCCCCATAAGTCGAAACTTGTGCGGGGTTAGGTAAGCAGACACACACAAACATCCATGGCCTAACTAGGATTCGAACTTATGTCTCAGTGGGAGTCCCCATACGAACTCAGCGCCTTCACGCTCTCGACCACCGAGCCGCCTAATATTATAATAATAATAATATTCAAATACATTAAGTAATGAAATTTGACCAATCATTTCATATTGGTAAGCAACAATCAATTTGAATATGAATCGAAAGTTGGAGAAAAGCTATCTATTTCGTTCGGAAGTTATACATTTTTCAAGTTCGTATTAGAATTCTATTGTATTTCAACAATTTTTTATATTATCTGGTAATTTGTTTATTCGATAATCGCGACATCAAGATGAAATAAAACATGTTGTCTAGTTTGGTGATCATGAATTTCATCATTCCATGTTAGACTTATGCAATTCTCATGTTTTCAATTCTGAATATTTATTGTAATGGGAATGATTCAGCTATTTTATTCAATTGATTTATTTTTGTATCATTATGGTGAACGATACAGCACTTTCAATGTCTGTTTATATAATGCAGATATTCCATACAGAATTTTTTTTTGAACAGTATCCCCAAAAATTCATCAAAATGTTGATACGACTGAGTATATAAGAATATTTGCAACTTTTTTATCGTGCTCGGGACATCTTCCCAAGGGTCCAATAATAGGAGATATTTTTTTCGTCAAAACATTCATATTTTTGTCCCACTTCAATTCATCATTAAACCAAATCCCAAGATACTTTTTCTCAATAGTTCATTTCAAAGATTCTGCGATATAAATTTATATTCTGTTCATTTCTTTGTAGAAAAATCATATATTCAGTTTCATCTTGATTCGATTATCATTTTATTACATCATATAACCATACAAATACAGACCACTATCTATCGAGCATCGAACATATTGGTCCATCAAGCCGGATCTATTCAAATCAAAGCTTGAAGACAGTTGAGTTTCTCATGAAGAATACAGAGCAGCATTCGAGACTGGATTGATAGTGAATGCCAAGCAGCTGGAGCTCCAACAGGTAGCAGCAAGCAGTGCAAGCGGACAACAACACAACGGACAAAAAATCCTATCGAATATCGTTAGATATCGAGATATCCCAGCAAGAGAATCTTATAGCATGAGGGACAAGAGAATTACCATCAGTGATTATGAAGTCGACTCTACTGATCATAACACTTATCGATTATTTACACTAACAAAATAAACCATTCTTATGAGAGCAAGGGAGCCAGACATTCTTTACAATATAGATGACGGTATCTTTGAGCAAAAAGGTGAAATACTTTTCGTTGAGTATCTTTCATCTGCTCTTTCCAGCTAGGAGTGCCTCAAGAATGTAATGACGTCCATTCTCGTCTCAATATCGTACACCAGCACCTTGCTCGACTTGAAGGTGAAAATAATATCGATAACATCAAAATAACTACTGCTTTGTACTTGTATGATCCTATTGAATAGTTTGGTACTTGTATCACCCTCTATGGCATGAGAGATTTTTATTTATTGTTAACATGACGACGTGTTGTTGAAACAAGAATTATCAATAAAATGAATATGAGCATCGAACATATTGGTCCTTCGAGCCGGATCTACTCAGAGTAAATCTTCAAGACTGCCAAGTTCTCCATTGGAGATATAGAGCAGCACTCAAGACTACCTTGAGTAACAGTGAATGCCGAGCTGCTGGAGCTTTCACAAGTAGCAACAAGCAGTTCAAGCGAACAACTGCAATAAAATATGCAATCCTCATATCAATCTCTTCAATTTCATTATCATATATCATGAAACCATACGAATACAGTCTACTGACTATCAAGCTTCTAACATTGGTCCTCCGAGTCGGATCTATTCAAATCGAACCTTCACCTAGACAATTGATCTAAAACAAAATCACCTACCTTGATGTTGTTGAGAGTCTCTCTGTCATTTTCTCCTCTGAACGGAGACCGACCAGACAACAAAATATACGTGATGATGCCGATGCTCCACATATCGTGACCGAACCCGACGCCGTCTCCGTTGACCGCTTCGGGACTGGCGTACTCCGGCACACCGTACTTGAGCGGGTAGTGAGAGCCCGCTTGGATGCGGCGGGACAGGCTGAAGTCCGTTAGTTTGAGGTCGTCGCCGCCTGGGTGGGACAGCAGGAGATCGCCCAGCTGAAGAGAGGAAGAAGAAATTATTTATTTTGTAGCTGAGTACAATCAAGAAGGGTGAATTGGGACGTATTTCGGATATTTCCATCGATGGGTTGCTTCAGCATTAAGGAACAATTGATTAAGTCAATTTAATCATAATAGTTAATGCATTACTTGATAGCGAATACATTCAAGTCGAACATAGACAAACAATCTATATTTCATAATGAAATGATTTTATACAATTTATTACCGAATGAATGGAAAAATATACATGATGTAACCCTAACAACACAGGGATATCCTAGGTACGTCCCTTTCAGAATCGAATCAAATCGCATCAAAATATGCTTTATTGTCACTTAAGAATGTTATCCTTGTAGAAAAACCTAAGTATGTTGTTAAAATAGAATAATAATAATATAATGTGATGTATACAACAAATATTAACATGAATATATTTTTTTCACAAACATGTGCACACATAAGGCTCCGTCTAAAATACTTGTTCATGAATATCCTCAACATTATAGAACGCATCAGGGACTAACAAGTTTTTCAATTCCTTTCTGAATTTTTCTATATCAGAGATAGATTTAACTGTAGTTTGAAGATGGTTGTACATTTCCAGGCCATTATATATTATGGCATTTTTTATTTAGTGAACTGCAGGGCCGGGAAAGCTTGCCCATGTCTGACTGGCGTGTGTTGTAAAATGATTCCACGACTACCTAATTATCTCTGGTTTTGTGAATCAAACACACCAACTCTATAACAAACAAGGATACTACTGTTGACACTCTATGCTCCCTGAATAACTCTTTACAAGAGGTTCTTGGATAAACTTTGCATATACCCGTGTCCCAGCTAAAATGTCCTCCCCTGTAAAAAATCATCTGTGCGAACGAATGACTTGAAATTTGGTCACCCAGTATATTTGATGATGTTCTCTGGAAATATGCTATTGAATAAATCGTAGGTATACAGGGACACAGAACTGCACCTGAACTTCTCTATTTGAATATGGACACCCAGTATATTATTCCATATTCGAGTAGAGTTTATTATTACAAATTCAACAATGCCGGGTTTGATGGCATCTTTTCAAACGACTACGACGATATGACAAAGAATAAAACGATTCAATAAAATATTTATATGATTAGATTTGATTAATATAACACTATTGAAATCGAATAAAAAAAATTAAAACCTCAACTGCTCAATATGTCGTCCATTCTGCTGCAAACATTTCTTAGCTCTTTTGATAACGTTCATCATTGTGACCCTATGTATCACGTTGCCATCAATTTGTGTGCATAAATTTGTGATTTTCTCTTTCATTTCTTCCATAATCACAATCAGCGACTCATAAACCTGTTGTTTCAGGTAGCCCCACAAATGAAAATCAAGTGGGGTGAGGTCTGGCGACCGAGCTGGCCAGTTGCTATCACCATCGAGACAATTGGTGTTTATTAGATTTCAATTTGTTTTTTTTCAATTCTATATCAATCGTGTTATATTGATAAAATCTAATCATATGAATTTTTTATTGAATCGTTTTATTTTCTACCATATCTTCTTAGTCGTTTGGAGAAATCCCATGAAACCCGGCATTGTTGAATTTGTAATAATAAACTCTACTTGAATATGGAATAATATACTGGGTGTCCCTATTCAAATGAGAAAGTTGAGGTGCACTTTGGTGTGACCCTGTATACCTATAATTTATTCAATAGCATATTTCGTGTGAGCATCATCAAATATACTGAGTGACCAAATTTCAAGTCATTCGACCGCGCGGTTGATTTTTTACAGGGGGGACATTTTAGCTGGGACACGGTGTATATTTTATGGCCTCTTTGTAAGATGAAAGTAGACTGTGAAATACAGTAATTACAAATTCCCCAAAATGCGATTCCATACTTCAAATGAGATTAAATCAGAGCGTTGAAGGAAAGTAGGTTTGATTTGCTCCATTGATGAATAATGTGGACGTCTTTGGTTATTTCAATTTGTAGTGTCTCCACAGATCTATCACCCCATAATCAGCGAAGAGAGTTATTTTCCCGTAGTAATGGAGCTTCCATGATCAACGCAATTAAAAGCTTTTGAAAACGAAACGAAACACTGCAGCGGCAACCTGAATTGTTATGATGTCAGTATATTATTGGAATCCAGAAATTCAATAATTCTCATTGTTACTAATTTCTTTATAATTTTAGCGAGTGTCGGAATGAGCGCAATGTGGCGATAGTTTGATGGTTCGTCTTTGTTTCCTCCCTTGTGAATGGGTATAATGATAGAAGTGTTCAGAAATTGCAGATAAGTACCAGTATTGAACGATTGGTTAATCTACTGTACTGAGGTCGACAGTGCGGTCTCTGCGAGAATTTGAAATATTCGAATAGATATATCATCAATTCCTGAGACATTTTTGTTTTTTATATCGTTGATTACATTCCTGAGCTCATTGTTACTGGTATTCGAGTGTTGAAAGATAGGGTTGTTGGTTGAATCCATATACATCAATTGATTGTGGGTATAAGTGATGTATTTGGTTATGCTTTCTGCTATACTACAATAATAGTTGTTGAGCGCGTCAGGTTGCAATGTTATTTCCTGCGGTATCTTTCGTTTACCTCTCAACTCATTCATAACCTGACAGCACTCTTTTGTTTTATTATTTGCTCTACCAAGACGTTCATTACAGAGCATCAATTTAGCGATTTTGAAATTTTTTTTATGAATGGAGCTATAAGATAGGTAATAATTGTGAAAACATTCTTCATGAGATAATTTCCTGTCATAGTGTAGACATCTCAAATTTTTTGCGAAGACAATAATACCCTGAGTGATCTACGGCTTCTTCCTTTTTCGTTTTATCAAAATTTGTTTCAATTGTTTCAAAAAATTGATTGGAAGGATGTAGAAGTGAGTTTGAATTTGTATGTTTTTCCCAATTCGTGTTCAAGCATAGGTCATGGAACTTTCTAAAATTTGTTCTGCTATATAGTGTTCCACTGTACAATTTTTTGCTCGAGTCAGTACCTAACCATCAAGTTGAATCTACTATCAACTGCCTCATGATCAGATAATCCTGGAGGAATTATGGTACAAGGGATGACATCTTCAATATTAGAGCACAAATAATCAATAGTAGTAGCACTGTGCTTGGATACTCGAGTTGGTTCAGTCACCAGCATGTGCAAGTTGAATAAGTTCAAAAGATTTTTGAGCATTTGCGTATTTGCGGATTCTGTATCACTATAATTGATATTCATGCCTCAAAGTGTACTGTCGGTACAAATATATGATTGAAACATCCCTGGGCTGTAATTTTTGTAGGTTCGTATAGGCATCGGAACGAATACTCAAGAACTGAAGAGGAACTGAGGATCAGTTGATGCAGTCGGAAGATAGTTTCAATGCATTTTTCATAACCCTGAATGGCCGTATAGTGAAAAACACTCACTTCAAAATGGATATATGAGTGATTTCGACCGTGTCCGTATGAGCAATCTGAGAATCATTTGAAAACAGCTTTTATTCAAACGGGATCATTCTTCGTCGCTGTCCGTGGCAGGTTGTGGTGATTCTTCTTCAAATAATCCGCCATAATGATATATGGTAGTGGGCGCGCATAAAAATATACATCGCGAGTTCCGGTTCCATGCGCGAGTTAGATAGTTGGCGATAGAGGGACAAGTTAGTTCTTCGTATTCTATAATCGTCGATTTTGTGATGACTAATTTCGATCTGGTTGATCATTCTGATTCGATACTTCTTAACTAAGGTGAGGGGAAGGAGATAAGTGTGAGATTTTTAGGGGTTTTGGCGACGTATGACCGGTTACATTTTTTTCGGTGTCTTAACTGACTTTGCAAATACTACAGGGTCTCTATAAATGATCGTAGCATCGTAGTGACCGTTGAAAAAGTGCCGCTTTCCTATTATGGAGATCGAACTATAACTCATTCTGTCAATTCAACGATTGTCAACAACGTAAGCAGAGAGTGGCACTATTTCAACAGATACTATGATGCTACGATCATTTATAGAAACCCTGTATAATTTCATATATAAAAAACCGAAAGTCATCTCAACACATTTTATTGAATGATCAAAGATCATTGACCTTGAAGGTACATGTTTCTTATATCTTATATATACCTATATGCCCATTATCAGCCGACAAGTTGCTCAAAGTTCGAGAAAACCCGGTATTGATTTAGGATGTAGATGCAATGATTGCTTACTTACAAGTGAATGAAAACAGTTGAAAATCAACTAGAGTAGACAATAACAGAGCAATCAAAGACAAATGCTCCATGATCTGGAGAACAAATAGTGAATACATTTGTAGAGGAAGGAAAAATTGACTGTATTTGAAAAATCCTTCATAAAATTATCAGAGAGGTCGAGTTTATATTTTATAAGGGCCCACGTACCCCCAAATCACCAAAAACTGGTAATTACTCCAGGGAAATATAAAACTATCAGAAGTATGATGTGTATTCGAAAATAACCTGCCAAATGAAAGAAAGATATCACATGTGCAGTGACACTTATCACACCAACTTATCGGCTGATAATGGGCTCAAATTAACTCGAAACATGTTCCCTCAATGATCTTTGATCATTCATCAAAGGTTCTGGAGATGACCTTGGGTTTTTCATCTATGAACTACACCACTCCACTCCGAAGACTATACTTTCAGTTTACTCTCAAGGAACTTCTCGAATGGCAGTTTACTCACATTGAGACCCATGTGGCCGTATCCTCGGTCGTGCATGTAGTCTAGCCCCTGCAGCATCTGCCTCACGAATCCTGCTATGTCGCTCTCCGTGTACCACTCCTGCCTTAGCAGGTGGTCCTGCACGAGACTGCCGCCACCTGCCAGCTCGAGAATCAGCGTCAGAGAGTCGTCGGTATCGTAGGAGTCGTGGAGGGAGATGAGCTTTCTGTGCCTGAGCTCGTTCAGCATGTCTAGCTCGTTGTACATGAACGGGCGCAACTCACCCTTGCCGTGCATCACCTTGGCGGCATAGTTGCGACCTGGAAGAAAAAATTAAGAGATTCATGAATTGCCTGCCTTAATCGAAAAAACGAAGGAATGTTAGTAGAAGTGTACCAATGCCACTACGGAACCATAGAAAATATACAAGGTGTCTGTGAAAAGTTGGGACATGGCTCGGCTGTGGACTCCTGGAATGAAAATATGTTGATTCAGGCCAACTTACCTATATCCAAAATCGTCTCGTTAAGTTGGTACAAGGTGTTGAAGTTTTTTTGGTAGAAAATAATTTCGCTCATAAAAAGAGTAGGCTGGGATCGATTTCCATAAATTTTGGCATGGCATGTTCTGTGACTGTAAGTCACGTTTTGAGATGTTTTTGATCATCATCAGTGACCAGCAAGTGTTTCAAACAACCATGTTGCGTACAAATTTGGTGATAACTTTTCAGAGGTCAGTCTGGAAACTACCATTTTTTTTCACAGAGATATTTCCTTCAGAAATATTTTTTGTATATTGTTAATTTTTGATAAGTCTCGAGGTTCATTTTTAAATATATAATTTCTGATCTGATGCATCCTGCGAATTTTTGAAAATTATTCTAATTTCGGACTGTTTATTGATCATGACTACACTGTATTCCTATTGTGAACAAACTGATATGTTGCTGGTTCTCGCGGGCTTCACAAGAACTCTCGCGTTACAAATTCAGTGATAACTATTCAGCACCTGAGGTGAGCACTTTAATGCCTTGTACCAACTCAACGAAACGATTTCGGATATAGGTGAGTTGGCTAAAATCAACTTATTTTCATCCCAGGAGTCTACAGGCAAGCCATGTCCCAACCAGATTATTTTCCTAAAAAATGCATAAAATGCCTCAGATCACAAATTATTTATCTGCAAATGAACCTCGAGACTCATCCAAAATCGACACGATATAAAAAATATTAATGAAGGGAATATCTTTCAGGAAAAAAAACGAGAAGTTTCCAGTCCGACCTCTGAAAAGTTATCACCAAATTTGTACGGCAACATGGTTGTTTGAAACACTTGCAGGTCCCTGATGATGACCAGAAACATCTCAAAACGTGACTCAAAATCACAGAAGATGTCATGCCAAAAATTATGAAAATCGACCTTAGCCTACTCTTTTTATGGGCAAAATTATTTTTTCCAAAAAAACTTCAACGCCTTGTACCAACTCAACGAGACGATTTTGGATATAGGTGAGTTGGCCAGAATCAACTTATTTTTATCCCAGGAGTCCACAGCCGAGCCATGTCCCAACCTTTTACAGACACCCTGTATACTCACCTAGAAATGTCAATGAATGCAGAAGAATGGAAACAAAATTACACACTACAGATAGGTATAGTATAGTATAGTTTGCGTATTGCGACAGCATCGACGCCAAATCTAATAGCTATTTATATATCAAGGAAGCAGAGGTATTCATTTCCTCCCGCGTGTGAAGCATTGAACACACATGGGATGAGATGAACCTTTGCTCCCAAGATATATAATATGACTTTATCCAGGAACGCATATATTTGAGAGCGTCTATCTTGAAATGGTGTTACATGATATAAGGTTACAAAAGTGTAGTATCCGCCCACAGAATATGCCATGGACAATTATTGACAGAATATTTGAATCTGAACGGAAATCAATTTGACACTTCTGTCATATTGAACTTTTTCATTGTGATATTGCATTTTATTCAAAGTTTTGACTCTCGATTGAGTGAGTTCGAAAAATGAGGAAGTTTTTGAGTGTATTCGAGTTTGGGAAAGAAATTGTTATTTGTTTTATAGTAGTGAAGGAGGCATTGATTAGGTACTGGGGTAGCATAGACCTTATACGTATAACTCTACCAAGGAAGCAAGTTGAAGCCGATTTATTTCACCTCCCACGGGAGGTAACATTCTGTTTACTCCCGTGGGAGTAAATTGACAGGATTGTGCCCTCAAATGCGAGAGCAAACGCTTACTGTCAATGCAGAGAGTAGATAAAATGTTTAAGGTCATCGAGGGAAATATTGAGGAGATATTGATAAGTACATGGATTCTCTATCAATAACGTCAGGAGTGTTATCAAGAAAACATAAAACTATATGGTTCAGTGACTATTCTGCTGGAAAATTCCACATAACGAACAGTTAGATATTCATACAGTATGAACAGTCACACATCACACTCGTTCAAAAAATTTTGTGGTCTGGTTAACGTTTTAGGTGATATTTGATTTATTTATTTCATGAGTGACATTTCATGTATATTATAAGAACTACACATTTCTGCATGAATCCAAGAAATTGAACGCCTGTATGTTGGTAAAAAAAAAACAAAAACTGAAATTTGGGGGCCAGACCTGACCTCATTCACATAACGCGGTATCATTGTTGCATACTTCGCAAGCTCAGAAGTGCACGTGCGCGAAATCAATCTGTGCCATGTTTAAAATGAGAGCCCACATTTGCAACAGGGCATGAGGAAAGTATTCATCGATAATTGTTGATTGCCTTTGAAGTATGTGAAATGAATAAGAATCGTGGAGGGATATAAAATTCTTGTGCCTGCGCTCGTTGAGCATGTCCAGCTCGTTGTACATAAACAGGCGCAACTAGCGCTTGCCGTGCATCACCTTAGCGGCATAGTTGCGACCTGAATAGCAGCATAGAAGGGATTCATGAATTGTTAGACGTCTATCGAAATTACTATAGATTCATAAATTTCAACTGAACAGTTGAGATGTGAGTGCCTATGCCGTTACGGAATCAATTCGCCCCATAATGAAAATATGAGTCCACATATGCAGCAATGCATGAGAAACGTATTGATTGATGATTATTATCTATCCTTGAAGCATATGTGATGGATAGGGATAATGGAAAGAGAATCGCTTCCTGTGCATAAAATCGTCAAACATGTCGAGCTCGTTGTACACGAACAGGCGCAACTCGCCTTTGCCGTTCAACACCTTAGCGGCATAGTTGCTTTCTGAACAGAAGAATAGGAGGGATTCATGAACTATTGGACCTCTATCAAAATCACTATGGATTCATGAATATCGATTAACAATTATGATGTTATCAGTAGTGTACCTATGCCGCTACGGAACCAATTTGTTTAATGATGCAAATAAGAGTCCATATAATATGCAACAAAGCATGAGAAACGTAATGATTGATGATTATTATCTGTCCTTGAAGCATGTGTGATGAATAAGAATCGTGAAGAGAGAAGAGGTTCCTGTGCCTGACCTTGTTGAGCATGTTCAGCTCGTTGTACAAGAACTTTCGCAAATCGCCTTTGCGCCGTGCATCACCTCACCAGCATAGTTACTACCTGAACGGAAAAATGAGAGGGATTCATGAAATGTTGAACCTCTATCGAATTCACTATGAATGCATGGATGTCGAATGATTTTGATGTTATTTGCAGTGTACCTATGCCGCTACGGAACCAATTTGTTCCATGTTTGAAATGAGAGGCTACATAAATGCAATGCAGCATGAGGAACGTATTGGATTGATTGTTATTTGTCTTTGAAGCATGTGTGATGAATAAGAATCGTGGAGAGAGACAAGCTTCTTATGCCTGTCGAGTTTGTCTGACACTTTCTTCAAACTTACCATTCAACCTTTCCACTGCATGATAGGTTATGCCCTGCGTCCCGCGTCCCAACTCATCACCGATATCGTAGAAGTCTGTGTACGCCTTCCTCTTCGACTTCAACGGGGACAAGTTCGTGTAGTTCCTCATCTTGTACTCGTGCTCGTTCTCCTCGACGTGCAACATGGCGCTGCTGGACGCGCAGCCGGCAACGTTGCGCGCGCTCACCGAGTACAGGCCTTCGTCCTTCAGGATGACGTCATTGATGGTGAGGATGTGGAGGTCGGGTTCGATGAAAGCGATCTGCGGAGAGAATGCTTTTATCACTTCTTTAGCAGGTAGGTATTTGAATTATTTTTGAGCCTTCCAGAACTTCGTTCATTCGGGAGAAAATCGTATTGCTTCAGACTCATCCAACTTCTGCTCCTTTGTTGATAGGAGAAGAGGATGCTCTCGAATTCCGAGCACAATAAAAGATGGAGATGGTACATTTGACAAATGATCAAATATAGTTAACGCATTTGGGTCCCTCTTTCGCAGTGAGGACATTGAATCAAATCCAGTACTGAACGCTGCACTTGATATTTCTCTGCATACGGAAAATATTTCAGTTTGCCCAATAATCGAAGATGACCAAGTTGAAGCCTCAAAAAAATTTTTATAAATGATTTGACAACATCGATGAATTGTCCCAGCTTATTTTTGAGTTCTTAGTTTCCTGGGAGGAAATGGAAATTCTGGAAGAAAACGCATTATGGTGAGTAATATCATCTGCAAAACCGTGGATGGGGCAAGTGGTTTGGGATTAGCTACTTGCTCCATCCACAGACCATTGATATATACGGGTGATTCATTGAGAAATGCGCATAGAGTAAGGGTAGACGGAGGACACCGAGGTGCTTCTAAATAATATATATTTCATGGGTCTAACATTCTTCGTAGCTGAGATAAAGGGTGGTTTATCAATTTTCTGATTTTTTTCAATTAATCATAACTTATGAACCCCCCTATACACTATTGTGATATTTAGTGGACATGTTCTTTGTCCACAGATGTGACGATTGACATAATAAAATGATGTATCATTCCAGGTCCGGCCTTAAAAAAATTAATAAGTAGATTTCGAGTCGAAACAACACCCTGTAGATCAATATTTTGGACTTCCATTCACAAATTTGAAAGGAGCAGGAAAAAATAAGTCAGGCTGAATGTGTTTTGTGTTTCCGCATACAATATTCATACCTATTAACTTGAGTCAAATCTAGATATTTCGATAATGAGGTGGCACATAATTGAAAAAAAAAATAATTTGTCGTCCCCAAATGATACTTTTTAATTTTCAAACCATGGAATCATCAACTATTCCTTACTCTCCTAATTTTTGGATCCCAACCTGATTGGAAAACGAGTTGACAGGTCCGTATTTGCGACAAATTATTATTATCAATGATTAACCATAAACACCTTGTATGTGCAGGAAAATTGTCATAACATTTGTTTATTGCCCTACATTTGAAACAACAATTATCATGGAAATGAAGAACAATGCCCATTTTCAAGTTGGCTGATGTCAGAGTAAAATTTTGACGTTAGTTGATGACTTAAAAGTTTGTACCTGTGTGTGTATTGTGTTGTTACGTTATTCGTTAATGAATAGTTATCACTTACTCAAAATGTCACATGAATTTAATAATAATGAATATGCAGACATGTTGAATGTCTATGGATACAGTGATGGTAATGGAAAAGCTGCCCAAAGAGAATATGCACGGCGATTTCCTGGCCGGCGGTTATCTAATGACAGGACTTTCTCTGATGTATTCAGTTACCTGAAGGAACACGGTAAATTTCCAACTGAAATACGAAACAAATGTAAATGTAAGATATTCTCAACCTTGTTCAAAATTATCCAAAAATTAGTACAAGAAGAATCAGTCATGCCACTAATGTCTCAGTCTGTTTGGCGGAGATTGAATAAAAATAGTCTGCATCCGTACCATGTACAGCAAGTTCAGAGGCTACATGCAGGAGATGAAATTGAAAGGTTAGCATTCAGTAGATGGATATCACGTTTAGAATAATACACAGGTGTTTATTTAGCGATGAAGCTCAATTTACCAGAGACGCCATCAATAATTCGAGAAATTCCCTTGTTTGGGCTGAACAAAATCCGTTCGCTATTGAAAACGAATTCCCAAATCAGGTTCTGTCCTCTCGTTTTCCAATTAGGTTGGGATGCGGAAATTAGGAGAGTAAGAAATAGTTGATGATTTCATGGTTTGAAAATTGAAAAGTACCTTTTGGGGACGACAAGTAATTTTTTTTCAATTTTGTGCCACCACATATATTATCGAAACATCTAGATTTGACTAAAGTTAAAAGGTATCAATCAATCAATCAATCAATCTTTTATTTTCCTTAAAATGACAAAAAATTTTCATTTTGTATAGGAATAGTCAGCACCTTATATCTAACTTATAAATAAAACTGAATAAATAAAATAAAATAAAAACAAGCAAAAGGGGTTATGGGTCTAGACAATATATCACGTACATGATAGAGTGGATCACAGAGGACTAGATAAAAACTCATCGAGTGTGTGAAAACAGTTGATCAACAAAAGCGACTTCAGACGTTTTTTGAATATTGATAAATTTTCAGCTCTTCTGATGATTTCTGGCAGATGATTAAATATTTTAGGTCCAATGCATTTAGGAGCATTTTGAGTAATTTTATATTTTGCAGCTTTGACATGTATCATTTGTTTTTGACGAGTGTTCTTATCATGAATATCACTATTTAGAATGAAGTCGCTTTTATTAGTAAATACATAAACTGAGATTTCATATATAAATATACTTGTGAGAGTTAGAATTTTCTGATTTATAAATAGAGTTCTACATGAACAACTTCTAGGAGTATTGAATATACATCGTAAAATAGCCTTCTGTTCAATAAAGACGTTTCTACCCATTGTTGAGTTGCCCCACAAGCAAACACCATAACGCAACCTGGACTCAACCTGAGCATAGTATACACTGATGAGTTGCTTTTTATTTAAAACGACTCTCAGATTCCTGAAGAGATAGATCAATGAGCACAATTTTGAAACCAATTGTTCACAGTGTGGAATCCAGTTCAGATATTCATCCATTTGCATACCCAAGAATTTAACTGGATTGGGGGTGCTTTGTAAGGTTGTATTATTAATATTCAGTTGAAGTGCTTCCGTTTTATTCTGATAATTATGAAAACGAATCACCTGAGTCTTTTTTGCGTTGAAAAATAGATCCTGCCTGCTGAAATATACAGTAGTTAAATTCAGGATATCTGTGCATTTGTGTGTTAAAATATCAGATTGCTTATCAATATACTGATATCGTCTGCATATTCTGTGAATAATGAGTATGATATTTCCCTATCGATATTATTGATGTATAGTAGGAACAGAACCGGCCCGAAGATAGATCCCTGAGGCACACCAGTCCGGACCAGTTTATTTTCTGATGTAGTGAATGAAGTCACACCACCTATATCGAATTTCAATGAGACGCATTGTGTTCTGTTGCTAAGAAACGAGGATACCCAGGCATGTGAATTTCCCCTCAGACCATAACACTCCAGCATATCCAGCAGTTTCAGGTGATTCACGCAGTCAAAAGCTCTGCTCAAATCACATAAAATTGCAGCTGGGCATTCGCCCGCTTCAAAAAACTCCATAATGTTTTCATAAAAAGTTAGTAGAGCAGTTTGAGTCGATTTTCCAGAGCGAAAACCATGCTGCATGGGTATCAAAATATTGTGTGATTCCAGAAAATCATTCGAACGCTCTAGGAATGCATACTCGAAGATTTTCGAGAAGCTCTGGGGGACGGTAATTGGTCTAAAATTTTCTAAAGTTGATAATTTTTTGTTCTTACGCAGAGGAGTTACCTTTCCTACCGTCAGCGCTGTAGGGAAACTACGATGTAAAAAAGAAAGATTCACTAAAAAAGTTACTGGTTTTATGATTGTGCAAAACTCTTTTTAGTAGAAACACTGGAATTTCGTCAGTTCCTGACGAATGTATGCTTCTTAGTTTACGATTGATCACATTCAACAACTCTAATTCGCTAAATGGCTTCAAAAACATTGTGTATGGATTCATTTCTATGCCTTTACCATTATTGAAATTCGGGCGATGATGATCATTACTCGGAATATCACGTATTATTGCCTGTGGAGCTTCGATGAAAAAATTGTTCAATTCATTCACGATCTCTGATGGATTATTGATAACGTCATCATTTTTTTGAATGAAGATACTATCACATACATTTTATCTTTAACCAATTTAAGGTGCTTTTTTTAATATTATTATATAATTCAGTTAAAGCAGGGTTACCTTTCTTCAAGTAGAATAGATGTTTTGATGAGCAGCTGGATTCTTTAACGGGATTGTCAATCCAGCCCTGTTTATTTTTGTTCAAAAATACTTTGCGTTTGGGAAAGGCAGTTTCGAAATAATGATAAAATATGTCATAAAAACAATTGAAGGCTTCTTCGCAATCGCCATACTCATGAATATTGCTCCATTCTTCTTTTTGTAACATAGAATCGAAATTTACTTTATTACTTTCATTAAAACATCTCTTCATTTCGGTTTTATTGATTGATTTCAGGAAAGAGCTTTCGTTGATATCTAAGAATATCGCACGATGATCAGATATTTCACAATCAGTAACATAACATGATTCTTCATTGTTACAGTTAGAGAAGATCTGGTCAATCAAAGTGCAGCTGGAATTAGTAATCCTTGTGGGCCAACCCACAAGTGGGCGAAAGTTGAAACGTGACATCACATTACATAAAGATATAAAATTAACATTTGAGTATGAATCGAAATCAAAATCACCACAAACAAAATAAATTATTCCAGGTTTATAAATAAGATCCAGTACTTCACAAATTTTGTTGAAAAATACGCCTATATCTCCACAAGGGGATCAATAACAGTTCATTATGACGAATTTTTGCAAATTCAGTGTGTATGAGATAGCGCATACTTCGAAATGTTGTTGGATGCAGAACTCACCAAGATCAATAGCAGTTGCCTTGATATCATTCCGCACCCATATCGCTACTCCACCACGTTTTTTCGTTGGTCTACAGTGGAAACTACACAAACTGAAACCAGGAAAAATTATATTGTCCAACATTGTTTCCTTGATGCCAATTTCTGTTAAACACAAAAATTGTAAATTAGCGTAAAAGCTCATTTCTGTCTGAAGGATGTTCATTTTGTCAAAGTTTATTGTATTCACATTTAATAATATCAGATTTGGACCGATTAACGATCTGTATTTGATTTCAGACGATAATGTAAAAAATTGTTAATATAAGCACCAATTGGCCAGAGCTCGGGGTTCATGGCCATCTTGAAATTTTTTTCATAAATACCAACCTTGAAAGACGAATAGATGGTTGGATGTTTGGATTTAATTGCCTCACAGGTGACCTCGGGGAAAAATGCTTCAAGTTGCCCTAACATTTCATCAGATGTGGTCGCTGGATCCACTCTGCATACACGTAAGTAGACAAACTTAGGAACACCCTTGATCTTCTCAGAGTTTTCCCCGACAAGGAGGTTTCGATGTTGTCTAGATTTTCTTTTAGTGTGGACGGTTTTCCATTCTTCCTGATTATCCACATTAATATTGGGATGGTTATCCTTATCATTGTTCAAGTTTATCAAATGGTTTAGAGTGGACTGAGTCTCAGCCTGAAGAATAGCAGCACTCATTTTTTTGGGGTCTATATTCGTTTTTTCATTCATTTTCCTCGAGACGGAATCACAAATGGATGCAGTCTTATTTACGACATCCACTTTAGGTCCATCTTTCTTTCTGTCAACTATTTTTGCAACACCAAAAGTTTGAGATTTTGTGGAGGAGCTTGCAACCGCGCAAACTTTGTTTATATTGGGAACTTGGGTATCTTTTCCATCCAATAACTCTATTAAGCGTTGTTGATTATTTACTGACCTTTCTAGCTCACGTATGATCATTTTAGATGACTCCAGTTCGACTAAGGCAACTTTCAGGTCACATTTCGCTGCCATAACCTTCAAGTTATCACTGTCTGCATTCAGGGATATATCACTAGCAGTGGTCAGAAATCCGGGGTTTTTCTTGTTGGTGATAAAACCTAAGACACTTTCACTCAGATTGATGTCACTTGGGACTACACTATTGATTATAATTCGTATTAAATCGATTTTTTTCAACCTCTGAAGTTCCTGTTCAACCTCAACTGCGGTTGCCATATCGCCTTCCATAACAAATAAAAGGTAACAAAGTTGTATGCGGAAACACAAAATACATTCAGCCTGACTCATTTTCTCCTGCTCTTTTCAAATTTGTGAATGAAAGTCCAAAATATTGATATACAGGGTGTTGTTTCGACTCGAAAGCTACTTATTAATTTTTTTAAGGCCGGACCTGGAATGAGACTTCATCTCATCATGTCAATCATCACATCTGTGGACAAAGAACATGTCCACCAAATATCACAAAAATGTATAGGGTGGTTCATAAGTTATGATTGATTGAAAAAAATTTGAAAATTGATAAACCACCCTGTATCTCAGCTACGAAGAATGATAGACCCATGAAATATATATTATTTAGGAGCACCTCGGTGTCCTCCGTCTACCCTTACTCTATGCGCATTTCCCAATGAATCACCCTGTAGAGTAGAAACAATGTTGGTGTGTGAAATGCCGGAATTGATGGCACTGGTATCTGAAGATACAAAGGGAACCTCGATAAAATATGGTAAGCTGTATCATGCTAGTTTGTGCATAATCCCTTGGTGCATATACGGATATACGGTCGGATGGTTTCGATATATCTAACGCCACAGCTAAGGAGTAAGGAGTAACAATACTATTGGGTTCTCCTTGTTCTTGTGCCAGGAGAAATTCATGAGAAAATACAGGCCAGAAGACTTCGGATGCCAACGAAACCAGCAAAGGTAAAGGTATCTTATTGTTTCAATTAAAATATTCTCAAATCTTAACATTACATGAGAGCTGGCAATAATTCAATGAGAATTCTGTTGCCTGGGAATTAAACGAAAGAAATTGCTTACGACTCAGTAGGACAAGTAATTTTCACTGGCAGATTTTTGAGTTGAATTTCTTGAAGACAACAAAACTCGAATCATGAATGTTGAAGTCATTTCAATCCCCAAAATATATATATCCCTATTATGAACAAATATGTTTCTTGGGGTAATAAATAACAACAACAACAACAAGAACAAGAACAACAACAACAACAAATTGTGAATCACATTATTGTTGATCGATTTTCAGATTCATCCACTTCAAATTACGTCATTTCCAGTCTCCATTTACCAACCCACCTTGATTCTGGTTGAAGCGGCCAAAGGTTTCCAGTCCTTGTACCACTTGATTTCTGGGTATGGCACCCCGATTATTCGAGCTTCGAACTTGGCTTTTCCTCTTAACATGACGTAATCGATTTCTGGTCTCCTGAGGAAGTAGGGTAATTCGGCAATTTCCAAACGCACTCTTTGCCTGGCCTCTCCATGTTCATTTCTGGCAACAGCTTCGTACCAGCCGACGTCTCTTTCGAGCATTCTGAAAAGAAAATTGAGATCTCAGAAGAAGAGAGAATATCAGAATGTCTGAATTCTGCATTTAATTGTTAATTTTTTGTGATCAATGACTACAGTATTTATCACGCACAATGTTTCACGAACAATTCCTTCACATAAAAAATGCGTGAATCCAATGCTGATGTGTATTTACCTGGAATATAGCTGTGACATGCATGAATGCACACATTTTTGTATGGAATATGCTATACCCAATAATTCAAAAAAACAACAATTGAATAACCTACAATTTCATGTAACGTTCAATATGGGTTTCACTCCCGATGCCAATCTCACAAGGTCAAAGCTAACATGATTACTAATCCAGTAGGTTGAAGCAGGTTGTGTGTTGGATCAGCTGCAATGAAATTTGGTCTAATTCTCAATTACACAATTACACGTTTAAGGCTGTTCACTCTAAGATGTCGCCCTGTTTCCCAGAGGCTCCGTTAGAGACACCACATATAACCTTGGTGCCATTTATCCATCGCTACGGGTTTTCACAGCTTGGATTAGGTTGCCTGAGCCTCGTTGACCAGTCCTTGGACAGATATCGGCGAACCGCCCCATCCTTGCCACAGATGTCCACGAATTGTCCCATCTGACCCGGAGATTCCAAAGATGGTTCCAAAATGCTTCATCGGTCGAGCGGCCGTGGCCTTACCTCCTCACACCACTTGATGGTGAGGTTAAGCTTGGAGGGGAAGAGAAGAAGTTGACCAAGGAAGGTCGATATGATAGATTTGAAAAGGAAGATAGAAAAGGATATCATCCAAGTTGAAGTTCGGTGAATGTCTGGCTAGGGTACATCAGGTCACCATTCCCGTACTCTCAAGTTGTGAGCCCCTAAGAAGTAACGTAAACTTACTTGTTGATGAACAATGTAGCCTGTCCGTTCCTGGTGTAGCTTGAATCAAACCTCCCGCCTGTTTCGATCAGCTCGTCGTTGAAGTAGTAGCTCATCTTCGGCTTCGGGTACCCGTACACGAACCAGAACAGGTTTGCGCCCTGGTCCTTGACGCCGTATTGGGTGTCGTGTTCCTGGCGCAGGAATCGCGGCGCCTGCGCCATACCGTCGTGGGGCGGGCGTTCGATGTCGAAGTCCTTGGGGAAGTAGGGGGAGGTCTCGGGGCGGAAGTCGATCTCGGGCGGCAGGTACGGCCGGAATTTGGGCAGTTCCAGCTCCAGTTTTTGCCTGAAGAAATCACATTGTAAATCACGTGATTTCCAGAATAGTATGGTAGAGTTCCCCTTTCACTTGATAGTGTAAGTGATGATCGCTCCTATTGATAAACGCTTATTATCATTCGGCAATGATTTCTTTCATCAGAGAGCTGGGCAAGCAGTTAAAAATATTTTATTAGCGAAAGCATTTCATGGTAGTTGGAATTGGGGACAGGGTAATCTTGAAAGTGCAATAAATTCTTATCTTGCGATATTCAATAGAAAAGCACCACACATTGAATGAACACAGTTTTTGATCCTTCCAGGATATCGAAATATCCCCATCATGTAGGTTTCTTAGGAGTCATCCAGTATAGTATCACATCAGCTGGTGGGTGAAGGGTGGCCTGGAACCGCCGGGCATCGACGACCGCCATAACAGCAATGCTTTACATCATATTTCTATTATATGATATTTTGATTGCGTTTTTGCAGCTTCATTGTCCAACATTTCTTATGTGCTTGATTATGTTCATCTACAGTTATTTTGTAACTTCACATAGCTTATCTATTCAGGCTTCGCAGAAGTCGATGAAACTGCTGTACCCGAAAAATTTCTATGCAACTCGCTACTATAATAAAATCTTTAGTGAATTCTCTGTTTCCATCATCTCTTCTCTGATCAACGTCTGTAGGGTTCTTGTATTATTTTGAGAGTTCCCTCTGTTCGAACTGGAATTCGGATTATCCTCTGTCCTACTCAAAATGGAACTGTTTGTGGTAATCTCATATGATGTATCTAGCAACAGATCAATCAACGATTAAAGAGTTTTAGGTAATGGAAACGACCTAGAGTGTGCCTTTCCTATCGTGCCTTGGTTCTTAACGTCATATTGTTTTTGCTTTTGATGCAACATGAGTCATATTGTTCATCAGGTTAGTATTACTACTGATGCTTGCTATCATTATGTTTCATTTGTATGCATTTATATAGATAATAGGAAATTGATGAAAAGATTTATTTTGACGTGTTTTCCAATATCATTCCTATTGAAAAAGATGTCCCATCATTGAAAATACCCTGAATGCACAATATGAAGCAATCGGCAAGAAGTGGTTATTTCGTTTTCATCACCATCCATATTGACATTCTGAGTCGAATCTGTGAAATGAGAATGCGATCAGCACTAGACATCTTCAGGACGCTCATCTCAGGACGCTCATCTCAGAACAGATTTGCGTCTTCATCTTCCAAGACGTGAAAGAATGAGGGTCACGTCATCATTTCAAGGCCTGAATAGAATGTGAACTTCTCTATATAGATCATTTCGTACACACAGGCTTATGTCCGAGAAATGTATTCAAAATGGTTTTATGTTCATGAAAATCAGGTGATGAATAAAGGCCATATGGCTTGAAGCATTTATTGTGAATTCAGTCTATGATGAACAGAAGAATATATAGAAGATACATTTCAAACACGCCCATTGTAATGGAGAACGTGCACTTTGGCATTTTCATATAATATGATGTTGTTTTGATTGCGTTTCAACCTCTTCATTGTCTTACTTTCCTAATGTGCTTGATTATTTTCATTCACAGTTAGATCCCAGCTCGCATTGAGGTTTGTATTCAGGCTCGGTAGAAGGCACATGAATAGTCAATTACTTCTCGTTGCTCCAAACGGTGAAGTTTCTATACGACTCGCTACAATCATGGAATCTATTGTGAATTCTTTATATGCATCTTCTTTCGTCCAATCAGCCTTTGCACGATTCTTGTGATATCGATTCTATAATCGAGACGAATTGATCCCTGATGAACTACCAAACTTTTGGTGAAGAATAAATTTATTAGGATGAACCAGCATCGAATTATGATGCTGTAGAGAAATTCAATTTCAATGAAAATCAGGACGTTGTACTATGGAACACTATTTTCTGCCAATTTGAATTCGATTTGAAATAAAACTGACTGAGTATGTCAAACTACGATAATGCATCAATTATATAGTGAGGAAATCATTGAGCTACCTACAATGAGTCCAAAATAAATTAGAAATGAAGAGCGCGTAAAAATTTTTCTAGTATTATACCTACCTAATTTCCCCGTATTAACGATCTCGCGGTAATTCCCCATAGGTAAAGGGCAATGCACGTTTTATTACTCATGTTCCAGTTGTGGGTCTTTTGATATTTTGAAAACAATATTGAATATTGTGTTGAATAATTAGGTATTACATATGAAATATAGCGGGATTCATCAAATAATGAGAAAAAAAGAATTATCAGACTTTCCGGATGAATATGAAGCTTTGAGCCCATTTTTCACTTTTTGATATATATATGTTTTGTTATAAGTACATGTTATTTTGTAATATCTGGCATTTTTCCCCTATTATCATGTTGAATATTTTCAGAATGGCTTTCGTTTAATATTTTGTGTATGAGAACAACATATTTTTTGTTCTTTTTAGTATTCATATTTTGAATCAATTCATCCCCATCAATATGGAATTATTCCTAAAATTAATACTCCACAGCTAAAAATATATGTATAGAAAATAATTGATTGGTTGTCAGGGTTTTTGCGTAATAACTTCTACTCGGATAGGTATATGATTTCTAACGTCATCAAAGTGTGTCCAGATTATCTTTAGACATGAACGCTGCTAACATCCTCTGAGATACAGTGAAAGTGTATCATATCGATTTGTGGGCATTGAAATTTACCATCCACAACTGATAGGTTCAGCATGAGGATCGTCTAAACTTTTTGAACTAGCCTGTATTGATCATCTGGCTCATCATTTTACTTGAATTGAAATATCGGTTTGTTATTGGCTCCTGGGAATTATGAAGAAAAAGGATTGAGTCTGAAGTTAGTCAGCATATGATGAATTGAAAATATATAGGAAAGAAATCTCGAAGACGTCCATTCTTGTGCAGAACGTTGCCCGATTGAGTACCTATCTGTGCGTCACAGCGAATGGAGAAAATCGCTGATCCAGTACTCAATCTCCACCCGCATCTCCAGCTGGTAGGTAACAGACGGCCTTGGCACACTGGGCATAGACGGCCGCCACGACAGCGTTCAGTGTCTTACATTATATTTCCATCATCCGATTTTTGATCGCATTTCCATATCTTCATTATCCAATGTTTCTAATGTGCTTGTTTATCTCTATGCATAGCTATCTTGTGGCTTCACAAAGAGGTATGTTTTGATGCTCTGTAAAAGTTGATGAAACTGTCAATTATGCTTCTTGCTGCTACAATAGGTGAAGTTTTTACCCTTTTCGCTACTATTATGAAATTTCTAGTGAATAATTCTCTTTTTCCATAATCTCTTGTTCAATCAGAGTCAGCATCATTCTCGTGTTATTTTCAGAGTTTCCTCTGCCAGAATTGAAATTCGGACAATCTTCTTCACTATTCAAATCGCTTGTAGCAAACTCAGGTGATGTATCAATAATTCAAGAGCTTTTTGGTTAACGTGCCCTGGTTCTTGACGCCACATTGTTCGTGATTTTGATGCAAGATAAGTCACATTGTTTATCCGCTGAGTAAATCTAATGCTCACTCCCATCAATTTTGTATTATTGTGCAACTTCTCTATGAATGATAGGTAATATCTGATGAAATGATTGATACTGGCAAGTTTTTCATCCTGTTGAAGATGACTCATCTCTGAAAACAGCATATCTACACGATGGGAAGCACTCGGGAGGATGTACTGAGAAGTTTCCGATTTTCTTACGCCGAGGAGAAGATTCATTACTCATTTTTTCTGATACTCAGTTGTGAGAACTCGATCAGAAGTGGTGTTATTATAATGATATCATCATCCTCATCATTATCCTGTGAGTTGAAGTTGGAATAAGAATGCTACAGCAATCAATCAAAATAGGTTAGTGTCGTTATGATTCAGAACGTATGCAATTTCATATCTTCATTTCAAGGTGTGAATAAAATGTGACCTACACCATATATATTGTTTCCTACACATGGGTGAATTGTTCATGAAAATCGGACGACAAATAACGGCGTTATGGCTCGAGGCATTATTCGTGAAGTCAGCAAGCATATAAGAGCAGCAGAAAAATATACAGAAAACACATCTCGAAGAAGTTCATTCCGATGGGAATATGAAAGACGTTTCTGAGACGAAACAAATTGCGTCTAAAAGACACACTGTCGTCGTTTAAGTACCCACCTGTGAGTTAAAGCGAACGGTGATGGATCGCTGATCCCGTACTTGTTCTCCACTCGAACACGGAACTTGTAGTCCCTGAACGGCTCCAAGTTCCTCACCCCGCACGCGCAACTCCTTATGCCCGACCGTACCGTGAACCAATCGCCATGCGGCATTTCGCACATCTCCAGCTGGTAGGTAACAGGCGGCCTAGGCCCACCGGGCATAGACGGCCGCCATGACAGCGTGCAGTGCCGGTCGGTCATGCGCGAAATGATGGGCGGGTCGGAGAGTGGCATGGGCGCACCTGTGCGCTTGTACTTGTCGAAGTCGGCGTACTGGTCGGTGATGGGGCGTTTTGGTTTCGGTTCGAGGCCTGCGAATGACAAGACAAACGTCGATTTCAACGTTCCATCGAAATAGTTTGTTATTGAATTGATATTCTCCAGGAAATGGGGTACAATAACGCGTGAAAAGTACAGGAAAATGATGTATATAACGATCGCCATTTATTCTGCTCTTTTATTAATAGCTGTCATTTCATGATCGTTGCATGAAATATTATTGAGTCGAAGATTATTGTTGTACCAAAGTAGATATTGGGTTAATGTGGATTGAAAATGGAATTGATCTGAAAAATGACCCTTGTCGTACACTTCAAGTGATAGTCATATCACACACGCACATCACTTTCTATTTTTTGAATAATTTCGGAACTAATCACCTCTGACACCTATTGATACTTCAAAATTTTACACATGAATCGGAACACTCATATATTGACCCTTTTTTGCATTTCATTGTTTCTGAAGGAACGAAACACTTGCGATTTTCGGCTCTGGATGTAAGGTTTCATCAATTCCACATATGAATACGGTGATATGTGATAATCAGCACAGTTAGACATACACAGGGCGTGAAGTAGAACAAATACACTGTTGTCAATTTTTGTCGCAGTGCTCCTATTTTGCATCTGGAAGACCATCCAGTAATGTGAATACATTGAAGTACCAACGTAGGTGATCCATAACTTACAGTGGAGGTGATATAAATCAGGAGGGTACAGTCACAACTCCACCACATAAAATTTTTCAATAATGACCAACGGTCATGGACATAAGTAGGACATGTTTTGAAGGATTAATCCTGCATCATCAGCAAATGTGTTGAAAAGAAAATCTGTAAGAAGAATCAATGCTTATGTTAGTTATAAGTATTGATTAAGGAATCTAAATGTACCTACCATTATTTGTGGAAAAAATTCACATCATACAAAACATGAAAAAAAAATTAATTTTGTTTATAAACCGCGCATAGTGCGGGTGAGTTAATGTTAGGGAACCATATTTTAAGCTCAATAATAAGAGCTTAGATAATCAAAATTGTGACAAAATTCACTTATCAAAATGAATCAACATGTGGAACTGGATTTGTTGAATTAGGTCTAATCTAATCTAATCACCAATGACAATCGACAAATGACAATTGATGACAATGACAATCGACAAATGACAATTGATGACAATGACGCTGAGGACAAAACACAACACTAGAATGACACCCGTCAAGTCAAAACTAAGGAATGTTCTGATTCTGCTGATGATGATGAACTTGAAATTTCAAAACAAAATATTGAAATCGGTTCACAACTTCAAATTGAAAATGGGTCACATTGTAGACATAGCTCAGAATGAATTGACATATTGTTTTCATTATTCATTAGTCGTGAAGAAATGATGTATATAACGATCGCAATCTATTGTGCTCGTGTATTAATAGCTGTCATTTCATGATCGTTGCATGAAATATTATTGAGGTATCCATTATTGTTGTACTGAAGTAGACATTGAGTTGATGTGGATTGAAAATGGAATTGATCTCAAAACTGGCCCTTTTCGTACACAACCTGTGATATTCATCAAGGAACTACAAGCGGTAGTCACATCACACAAGCGCATCAAAACTGTTCATTTTTTGAATTATTTTGAAACTTATCATGACTTTTTTGCGATTGCGATTTCTGGATCTGGATATAAGGTGTCATCAATTCCACATATATTATGAATACGGCAATATGTGACAATTAGCACAGTGAGACATACTCAGGGTGTCAAGTGGAACAAATATCCTGTAGTCAATTTTTGTCTTAGTGCTTCGTTTTTGCATCTAAAAGACCTCTCAGTAATGTGAATACATTAAATAACATATCTGATTTGAATAAAGAGCTGTGAGAAATATGAATTGTTTATCATTTCATCAGTCTACATCTTGACGTGAAATTAGAAGCATAAAAATCCTCTTAGCTCTGCTAAAATTGCTATGCTTGTGGAGTTCATGAAGTCTCCCTCTTTGACTCTGACGAAATTTACTGCACAAGTAGTGCAGTACATTCCAGTAGAATGTCTCATTGAATATGCAGAGCATTGTGGACTTCTAATGATGTGGCACAAATTCATTCAAGAATACCGCCGCAACTCTAAACTACGAATAAAGTTGCCATGATTTGTTCATTATAATCATGCCAATTGGACTACACACTAGGATGGATCACAATCTTCCCAAGGAGGTTGTTATAATTGTTGAAAAGCATTACTCAAATGAATAATATATCCTTGTTTCGTATCCTTCCGCCCCATGCATCATTTCTCAAACATCATCTGTCGAACGTCATCTGTCAAACTCCATATGCAACCATGTAGCACGATATACTCCATTATTGATGATTCACATCTTCTTATAACGATGTAAAGGGGAAATACCGTTTGAAACGATCAATATATCTCAATTGATAACATCAATTCATCGCGTGATTCTATAAAGTAACGTATTTTTCTCTGGTTTTTATATCGATATCGTATTTTCTGTGAATGTGACTGATTGTTTTTTTTTCGCTTCTGATAATAATTCCAAGTTCTCTGTTCCACTACACTGTTGTACCACTAATCAAACCGATTTTTTAAACGCCTCGACACGTGTTTCGCTAACTATGTTAGCATCTTCAGGAGAAGATTGAAACTGTTAGCGGTAAAACAGTGTAGTGTATTATCGTGCCAAAGGTTCCAGTTTTCGATATATTAAGTCCTCTGTTATTTTGACCGATTGTGAAATTCGTTATCGCTGCACGCGTTCAAGTCAGCGACTTTTATTAGAAGAGGCTCCATCTGGTGCTACGTGTCGTTTACCCCAAGAATCGCCAGCCTCAACAGCCTTGCAGTATCCGTATTTTGGGAACAATTGGATTGAATAATATGAAGAACTTGTAGCACTGATACGCTGTCGTACAATGGGGAAGTCGTTTTCATTTTCAAATTTGAGCATTTTCTAATTTTCGGGGCGGCAAACTGTCACCTATATTCTGAATTTAGTCTGAAAATAGCTGATGGTGAAGAATATAGCTAGCGAATAGCTTACGAATAGCTAACGAATGAAAAACGAATGGAAAAAATAGAAGAAGCAGTAAAGCTGGTAAGCAAAAACATACATAATCACAGATGCACTCGAAACAGGAACTGACAGATCATAGTTTTTTTATTTATACAAAAGAGCTCGCTCGACCCTAAACAAAAATATCATTGAATCATTGAATCACTATCGGCTACATTCAATGATACTATCCTTCCTAATTTACTGTCATCTGTCAGAACAGAATGAAGCCGACACCCATGGATCCTTCCTCTTGTTGTGCCTGTCAGTATTTTGAGTGATGTGGACGGACTTGAAGTATTAGGCGCTGTTGCAAGATTCAATCTGCAACTTTGCAAAAATGACTGGCAAGTTATGAATAACATATTCTAATATAAGGATAGTGAAAAATTATAGATTCTATAGCAAAACATCATGATTTATTTTTATTAGCAATCAACCTCATCCAGCCAATGAGACGATTATGGGAATCATTTTTAATACTTGACAAAGTAGGATTGATGAACATATTATATCCTATTGCTGTTATGATATAGATATTATGCATTCAAAGAACAATTTTCGGAAATCTATACATATTGATGATGTCGGCAACGTCGTACTGGCACAGGTAATTGAGTTGTAACTCTGTGTGAATGTGGATTTTCAGAAAGTACGTCATAGGAATGGTGGAGGAGCCAAGTTCCCATTTATTTATTTTTTTCTGAAGTGGAATTTGATCTTACGAAAAAAAAAAGAAATACGTATATATTATTCTTCAAGAAACTTCACAGTGAGATGAGAATCTCAATATAAGGAACTTCCCCATTGTGCAGTTGGCTTGTCAGTTGAATACGGATACTGCGTATTTTATTTGTTGATGAATGCGGACAAACTAACCTTCGTCGAACTTCAAAGTACCATGGCAAATATCGCTGCCGTGCTCGTTACTGATCTTGCAGGAATACCTTCCCAAATCATCCACATCCACCCCACTAATTGCTAATCTCAACAGCCCCGCCGTATCCTTGTCCATCCGGATCCTGGTGGACGGGAATAGCTTCTTGTCGTTGTGGAACCACTCGACGGTGGGTTCTGGAATTCCTGAGGCGCAGGCTGTGAACTTGGCCGTCATGGCCTTGAAGAGCTCCGTATCGCCGATGCGTTTGAGGAAGACCGGGGGTTCTATCTTCTTTTGTGCTTTGCTGTGAACAATGAGTGAATCGATCCAACTGTACTGTATTGTTCAAGAACATCGTTCTCATTGACAAAGCTTTTATAATATGAAGTTTTTTTCATCTTCATAATACAGGATGTCCCAAAGTTGCTAGGATGCAAAGCTATAATGTTTAATAGAGATCAAAATAACTTATATCCCAAAATGTACAGTTTCTCATTGAGGAGTAATCAAAGTTCACATTAACAAACACATTTTTGTTCGCTGTTCAGAAATAAGTGAAACAATTCAATGGGATTTGACTAAGGTGCATTTAGGAGGGTGTATCAGTAATCAAGGAAACCCCAAAAGAAAAAATTGTGGAAGAATTGAAACTACCCTCACCCCCTAACATTCTTGAAAACCTCCAACTCCCTATATTTCTGAAGTGTACAAGTGTAATGACATTGTTATACAACATCTAGTTGACCTATGTTGACAGTGTAAATTTTTTCATGAAGAATGTTCAATTTAACGCTCACTTCCATCAATATGAAGGTCAATTTGACGTAAAAAATTGGAATGCACCTGAATTTATTCATGTAAACGTAGTGCTCTTTCCATGGAGAAACGGTACATTATAGTATAAACATGAAATGGGCTTAATCAACTTATTTTCACCGCTATTACACGTGGAAGCTCTGTTTCCCAGCAGTTTTGGGAGACCCTGTATAACTGAGATTCCATGTTGCTGATGGAGAGGAATAGCATTCTGCCAGTTCTGAATTTTGAAAAATCACATAAGTACCTGAACTGAAATTTGTCATCATGAAATTCCTGCAGGTTATAATATGCTTTCGGAATGAGAACGTTTTCAATAACCTTACAGAATATTTTGGATTTTTGGATATTCTGGCATAACGATTACCTATTAATATTTTTTGCATTCAACTTCAACTGAAATTCTCGTGAGGAATGCTTCTGGTATCGAAAAATCACATACATGGCCTGAAATGTGTTATTATAAAATTCCTACAGGTTATAATACGTTTTTGGAATGAGAACGACTTCAATAACTTTCCTGAATATTTTGGATTTTTGGATATTCTGGCATAAGGATTATTATTATTTTTTGCATTCATCTTTTACTGAAATTCTCGTGAGGAATGTTTCAGGTACCTATTGGTAGATGCAAAATGCAAAATTAGGACGACGAAGTAGGTACAATACTTTTTGCCTAACATACAAAAGTCACACTTATTCTGACAGGTTTCTGTACCGTAGAGACATCTATTCGAATAAAGTTGTTCACTTTTTATTTCTTACCTAGGGATTCAATATTTTCATATCTAGTTTGTTGACTAGTATCTCTCATGTGTGGATATTATAATGTACACAGTGAATATCTGATTGTGGGATATTCTGCGATCGATTGTTGATCTTTTTAACAAGATCTATAATATACCGACTTGTTATTTGGACGATGAAAAACAAATATTTATGCAATCGGTCATTAATTTTCCTAAATAGAAGAAAACTCCGAGTCGGTCGACTACACTTTATATCAAAAAGTACAATTAAAATGTGACCGGTTTCGGCACAACGGCCATCATCAGACCAAATGACACCTGAAATACATTATGAATGTTAAGGAAAATATGTATATGACAAACCTATTATTGGTCAGGAAAAACAAACAGCAACATGGAAATTACAAAGACTAACCTAATAAGTTTCGTGAAGTCTTGGATTCAGTAATATCTTTTAAAACGGCTGGAGAGCCAGAAAAATATGACTCCAATGAGATTGATCATTTTGAAAAAATGTTTCTCATCGATCATATGTTGAAAAATAGCAGAATGTGAAAAAACATTGTCAAATAAAGGTACATGGAAAAACAATCTGAAGGATTGACAGTATTGACATAATGTAGATATGGGACAAGGTAAAAAAATGACAGGAATATGAAATTGGTGGTCAATATCAGAGGGAACTATTATACACAACCTATAGCTATCAATAAAAGTGAGAAGAAGATAAAGAATAAGAAGAAGGAAGGAAAAGAGCAGACTAGGAAATAAATGAATAAAAAGAGTAGACAAAACAAGACACATGGTGAAAAAGACAGAAATGAAGACACAAGTGGATAAAGGGTTCAAGTCACACAAAATTAATTTGGAGCAAATGATGTTCAAAGTTTTTGATGCCGCAGTTTTTTGTATTGCGTTGAATGAAAAAAATAATCGCTGGTTTGAATAGACCTTTATTACACAATTTTGCATAGTACATCTGACACTGGTATATAATACAGTGAAAAAAAAAAACTCAAAAAAGGTACATGAATCCTTCATCCTTCAAATAAACAGAGTTTCGCAAATGATGTTCAAAGTTTTTGATGCCGCAGTTTTTTGTATTGCGTTGAATGAAAAAAATAATCGCTGGTTTGAATAGACCTTTATTACACAATTTTGCATAGTACATCTGACACTGGTATATAATACAGTAAAAAAAAACTCAAAAAAGGTACATGAATCCTTCATCCTTCAAATAAACAGAGATTGTTTCAAGTACCCGACAAATAGAATAATCATGGATGAAGGATTCATGTTCATACAATACAATGTACTTGAACCCTTCATCCAGTGGCAATGATAGAACATAGGTGAACATAGATCTTTCATCAATATATAACTTTCTTATTTTGTACAATAGATGAACGGTATTAGTAGGGAAAACATTCTACTCACTTAAATCCTTTATCCACCCAAAAATCTCATTTTTCATTAAAATGTCACATAGACCCTTTATCCACTCGTGTCTTCAAATAAAATAAAAGAAAGAAGGAAATAATGAGAAGAAATTGCAATCTGAAAACATTAAAACAGAGTCGAACCAAACTGGAAAAACTTAAAAAGTTTTAAGTGTTTTGTCTACTCTTCTTATTTATTTAATTCCTCTTCTACTCTTTTTCTTTCTTCTTCTTATCATTTTCTTATTGTTACTCTTGATTGCTAGGTTGTATATATTAGTTCTTTCTGACATTGACAACCAATTTCATATTCCTGTCATTTGTTTACCTTGTCCCATGTCTACATAATGTCAATACTGTCAATCCTTCAGATTGTTTTTCCATACACCTTTATTTTACAATTTTTTACATTCTGCTATTTCACAACATGTGATCGATAAAGAACATTCGAAATTGTTTTGATATGATCGATCTCATTAGAGTCAGCTTTTTCTGGCTCTCCAGCCGTTTCAAAAAATGTTACTAAATTCAACACTTCACGAAACTCATTAGGTAAGTGTTTGTAATTTCCATGGTTTTGTTTGTTTTTCCTGACCCATAACAGGTTTGTTTCATTCTGACACCATATACATACATGTTTCACTCAACATTCGAAAAGTATTTCAGGTCTTATTTACTCTGATGATGGCCATTGTACCGAAACCGGTCACTTTCTAATTGTAGTTTTTGATATGAAGTGTGGTCGAACGACTTGGAGTTTTCTTTTTATTTATGAATGTTGTGGGGTTACTTTGAGAATGAATGATTTTCATAGTTTATTAATTTTCCTACTCACATTTCTCTGACAATTTCCAGAGTGGCTGTACAGTTATCTTGTCCCTCTTGATTGATGGCGGTGGCCCTGTAAACCCCAGCGTCCCCTTCTGTGCAGTTCAAGACGTAGAGGCAGCACAAATCTCCGTCTCTCTTGATATGATATTTATCGGTTTCTCTCAGCGGTTCGCCATCTTTGGTCCATACGACTTCCGGTTGGGGTACTCCGGTGACTCTGCATGGGAATTTGGCATCTCTTTCTGGTAGCTTGAAACAAATAGTAGAGTTCGATCATTATTCCATTAGAAACGATATAGTCCAATAAATAAAGGGAAAAAGTTAACATTAATTACGCACTATTTTCATCTTCCGGTTGGAAGTAGCTTTTGGTACCTCATTAATCATGAGACAAAGTTTGACTGGAAAACGCGTGCGATGGCGGGAAAAATGGCCCCAAAAGACCAGGAAAATAGGTTTTCAGCCAATATCTCCTAAAATATGGCAGTAAGAGATTTTTGGTTCAGATAAAAATTTAAGTTCAGTTAATTCTCTACAAAAATGGTTCCCATCATTTTTTCCGAAAATTTGCCCGGTTTCGAGAAAAACGGCACGAAGCGCACCTCGAATAATGAGCTTCTGTTGTATGCCGGATAGCACAGTCCGTGTATTTACACATCGGCGGGAGGACAAATTATTCAATAACTTTCTTAAAAATGCATATTTTCTCATGATTCAAAGTTCATGTGAAAGAGGAATTCTGCTGCTATCATACCCTGCGTGGCCGCATGGTTTGTAGCAGACGACCCGAGCGCCACGTAGAGCACACACGCGGCGAACGACGGAGGAACGAAAGTAATAAATTGTAGCGTGTACATTACAATATTCTTGGAGATATCAACGCTCTGTCACTAATATGGATAAAAATGAATCGCAGTTTATTTGAATATAGGCGAATGAGACAAGATTTCCTCTCATCACAATATGGCAGCAGCAAGAAAATCGCTGTGCCAAATATCATCTCACATAATGGATATTTGTTTCATGTCGAATTTTGGTGCATAAGATGTCTATCGAGGATCAGTATTGTGATGTGAATCATTTCATCACAAGCAACACCACAGACGAACATGGCAACCTCAGTCAGCACATTCTTTTGTTGTCAACTTTGAGATATATGGAAAAGCATTTCACCAACAATCGTCTGTGGAACAGGAAAGCTTTGGAATTATTCGCCAATGGAAGTATTCTGAAGAAATCATGAACTTCAAAAGCAAAATTCTAACACCTCATTCTTTCCCTATTCTCCCTAGGTACACACGATGTCCTTTGAACCTGATAGTGATTCCCTTCTGTGCCCTTCAAGATATAACAAAATTGATATCCTCAAGGAGAAAATCAATTCGATTCAGAGAAATTCATGAAAATAACCATAGTTCGAAATCTTTTGTTCTTTCACGTTTCCGTACGAAATCATAGTATTCTGAAGAATTCTCGAATACCTACTTCTTCTCTTCCTGAGCCTCAGGTCACAGTTCAAGGAATGGGTATTACTTAAAGTGTGCTCAGGTGTACATCCATGAGATATTTCATTGGCGAATCTCTATCATTATCTAGAGAAGTATTCATATATCAACTTTTTCTCACTGGGATATATCTTTTCGGATATTCGAATCTTGACTCAGAATCAAAAAATAGGTTTTCAATAAATCATCTCATTGGCACTCGCAAGGGCACTAAGAACGACATGAATTAATTGAGACTGCTCGGAATCTATGGGTGAGGGGAGGTATAGTGCAGCATTGCTACTACTCAGGGAAATAAACTAACGTTATGTATTTTGTTAATTCAATAAATTTCTGGATATATTTATCAGAATATAAATGCAAATTAGGTTATATAAGGTTCCACAAATTCTTTGAGAATATTCATATCAGGAGGAAGCATTTTTATCTACTGCCAAAGAATTGAATATCAGAATATCTATGGTGGTGGGAGTTGCAATTTATAACGGGTCTTCAACAATGATTGAACACCACGTGACCATATTCGTATGTAACCATCAATACATTTTCGTTATCATATTTACTCACGTTATATCATCATATATGTCATATTTGCACCTCAGATCATTTATTACTATAGTTTTCAGTGTTTACTTCCTGTCATTAACCTCCTCCTTAATTTGATTTGCCCGTTAACTTGTCAACTGTCATACCAGCCAACCGCTTGCCTTGTTCACAGAAATTATAAACGGGAAAATTGGATTGCAAATTTATCATCAATATTCTAGGGTTTTCGAAATGTATACTGCACAGCTGCGTAGCCCTAGCACCTATTAGCGCTTTGTTGTCTTTTCTCTCGAGTTTGTGGATAGTTTATGTGGTTCTTTTTTCATTCGATTGTTCTTGTATTTGATCATTCCACTCACAATTCCTTTGCAGAAAACAAATCTCATCCAAACCTTCAATTCATTGTTGTGGAAATGTGAGACCGATAATTATCCTCTTGTTGCTATTGTTCATGCCCTTATTTTCCTTTCAGGATCATCAACATGGTTTTCTTCTTGTCGAATGGATGCCCCATTACTAATGGCTCATTCCAGAAGTGGTACTCGTAATCCTGATGGAACATGGAAATATTCACTTCAAACCTACCGGAAACAATTTCATGATGCATTTACAAATGTAAATATCCCATATGCTATATCTGTTGATCACAGATTGCATATTTTACAGGGTTTTGAAACAGAACACTTCATCTGCAAAGGTACATCATCTGGTAGACCAACTCTTCTTTCCGAAAGTGTTCTTCATGATATTGAAAATCCTATGGTGGAAAGTCCTAATAAGTCTGTCTTTTTCTATCAGAAATTGTTGATCCCGTCGGGACCAGGAGCATTAAAGTTCTTAGAGCCTTTAAGATATTCCCCAGACAGCACCAGATATCCCATGAATCTCCCTATCATATTCCTTTTGGAATATTGGAATATTCTACAAATAATCTGGAATATTCCGGAATATCTGTGGAATATTCTCTAAATATGCGAATGGGAATTCCTCAGATAATCATAGAATATACCCAAAAGAATATTCTATGTTGAATGTTCCTGGAATATTCCAACAAACATATTCTAAAATTAAAAAAAGGGACCCAAGTAGGGATCGAACTCGTGACCTCAAGACTATCAGAGCAACGCCTTGACCACTAGGCCAGTAATCGAATTGAATAATGTTATACATATCAAGTTCTTGTGAGAGCATTGTTCGAAATCGGATCATAAACATTTTTTTGTTTCAAAATCCCCTTACATCTAATTGATGTTCGATACTCACATCTCTGAAATAATTAATGTTATTTATGTGTTGGGGAACATAGGAATATTCATGGAATATTTCCTGAATATACACCACAGAATATACAGTTGAGAATATTTCATGAATATACCGCACAGAATATCCAGTTGGGTATATTTCAAGAATATACCGCACAGAATATCCAGTTGGGTATATTTCATGAATATACAACAGAGAATATTCAGTTGGGAATATTCCTGGAAGATTCATACCTGAATATTCCCTGAACATGTCCGACTATTCACTTTGGAATATTCCTTTCAGATGTTAGAGGCATGTATATATTCTAGGAATAATCGATGAATATTCGGAATATACTCCTCCTTTTTAGCATATTTAGAGAATATTCTATGAATATCCAGTGCTGTCTGGGTCTCGAACCCCCTCAGTAGTTATAGGTTGGTGCGGTAACTTGGCTTGGCTTCCATCTTGTGCACACGTCACTCGGCCCCCTCAGTTGTTCAGACCGTTCGAATAGGTCTCCTCAGCAGAGAGGACCGAACCACGTTATACACGGTACAGTGATGTGCCAGATGTGCCCAACGTGATTCATCCATCCCTGCTAGGTCTTGGAGCCGCAGGACCTTGATGTTGAGTAGGCCCTTGCGGTTCCTGATTTTCTTCACCTCAGGGAGCATACGGTCCCCTCTCTCGTTATCGAGTAGGATGGATGAAGCTTACTGTTCCTCCACACCATCTTTCTGTCGAGAAGGGACTCTCACGTACTCTCTAGCGCGCAGGTGCGATACATAATCCCGCAGATTTTGATCGGTGAATGTTACATGCTCTGGGTGTCGCTTCATCCACAGAGCATGCATCCGCCTAAAGTGTTCCCTGCGCGCTGGATTGCTGCTCTCGAAGCACTCAAAAGGTCCTTCCTCAGATCACCTGTCCACTCAAGGCGTCCATGCATTGTCCTTGCGGTCGTTATAAGGCTGTCCGTCATGTTGGGCCTTACCACCTTGCCTTCGACCCCTATCCGGCTGGGGTCAGTTGTGGGGGCCCTGTCCCCTGTTTGTAGGAACCAGAGTATTTCGACCTGCCAGGTGATTAACCTAGCAGGTCCACAGCTGACACAAAAGGAGAAATATACCTCTCCTTCCGGGTACGCTCTCGCTGCCACTCCGCTTTTGTCAAAGAAGGGAAGATTTGTATTTCGTGCAAGATAATTTATACAATATTCGTAGCAGAACGCTATCGACTGTTAAGTCATCATCAGTGCATACTCGTCAGGTTAACAGGGAAATTCAACAGTCGAAAGCGCTCTGCTACGAATATTGAATAAATCATCTTGCACGAAATACAAATATTTCCTTCTTTGGTATATATACACGTGCACACAGCCCAGCAACCCTCACTCCGCTTTTGTACCCACTGCTCGAATAGGTAAAGTCGCTACTCACCATGGGCAACCCTCTGACAGTTACCGTGCTCCCTATCATTATTATAATTTTGAGTATTATTATTATTATTATTATTATTATATGTATCTTGATCCCGGCTCACCTGCTGCAAATCGCCGAACCGCTGCGTGAACGTCGGCGCCATGAACACCTTCCTGACCTTGGCCTTCCCCTCCGTCTTGTCCTCCCCCATGGGGCTAACGATCCGCACCCCATAAACGCCGGCGTCGGCGGTCGTCGCTTTGTCGATACGGACGCCGACGCGCCGGCCGTCGCACGTCATCAGCACCCTGTCGGAGGGTAGTAGAGGAGCGCCGTCCTTCGTCCATTCGGCGCTGGGGATGGGGTTGCCCGTGAAGGCTGCTTCGACAACGAGCTGTTGACCTATAATACAGTTGAATGTGACACAGGAGACATGTAACAGCCTGTAGTTTTTTTATTTGAAGAGATGAAGATCTAAAATTTACAAGGGCTATATCATCGATGATGACGCTCCCCTTGAACTCGATGGCAATTTTCTTCAACCACCTGTTTGATCGGAAGTAGACCCACATTTTTCGTTTCAAATGGCAACTTGTATCTTTTGGTAGCCAATTTTATTCGTCTTGAAATTCTCTATTCAACTATGTATCAAACAAATTGTCTGTCTGGTGCTGTTGGATTTCAGTAAGGCTTTCGACACCCTAGACCATGCGATATCCTTCGCAAAAAATTGACGTCTTTTAGATTTACACATAAAGCGGTTTCTCTTGTTTCTAATTATTTATCCGGTCAAACACAGAAGGTGATTCTAGACGGAAAGATGTCTGAGGAATTACAAGTATCCTTTGAAGTACCACAAGGATCAATTTTGGGACCGTTACTTTTTTCTTTATACATATCTGATTTCCATAACTCCATTAGTAATTGTATAATTCATCACTATGCAGATGATACCCAGATTGATCTTTCATTCTTACCTTCTGATTTGCAGCAATCACAAGCCTCAATAAATGATGAATTGAAATCTTTGTTTGAGATTTCGTGTGCACCTATAATTTGGAGCTCAATTCTAAAAAATCTATGGTGATGTTATTTGGCCCTAAGAGAGTCAGAGAGTCCGCAACTGAGCTGCTGCAAATCAGCATTGGCACTGATGTTCTTCCCATTGTGAAAGAAAACAAGAATCAAGGACTTTGGTTGGACTTCGATCTGAGATTCACAAAACATACTAGTATTTTTTATGTAAATCTTCATTCAATATATTGAGGCAACTATATCCTAATACAGATATCCTTTCTTCTAAGCTGAAACTCAAACTTTTCGAGTCTTCGATATTCTCAGAATTATCATATTGCGATAGTATACAGGCTGATTTTAAAATAAGTGCATATATTTTGAACACTAAGAAAGCTCGAGGTATACTACCGAATAGCACTATTAAAAATATTATTAGGATCAAAATAGATTTGGGCAAAATACCCTTTTTTCGCCTAGATTTCTACTTCTGTCACAACTATCGTTTGCGATCCGCAGTCGACCGTGATGAACGAAGCGACGTTGCCACTCTACATGAAAATTAGGAGATATTAAATAAAATGTATAATCGAGAAAATGTACATGGGGAAGAAGTTAACCCTGGTCTTGAATTTCAGAAAAATAATACAAAAACTTCAAAATGGACTCACCCAAGATTTCTACACATAAGCTCGAATAGCGTATAACTTAACACCTCACGGTTGGAAGTTATTTCACTGAAAAATCCTTTAGACCCTTCCTTCCACCTCCTTGCATCGCTACAATTTCGTGGTCTTCGAGGAGTCTCATGGGCCCCGCACAATAACGACCCGACATAAGAACCATATCATTCAGCTCAATGTTTGAGAAATGCATCGTCACATTCCAAGCAAATTGTCAGAAACAAAACTTTACATTCAGTGTTGTTCCTGGGTCTGATTTTTTCGTAATAGATTTTCTTGGAAAATGGTAACAGATTTGTATCAAAAGGTAATAGATCCTAAAAATGTGACATTTGATATTCTGAATGTCATTCTTGTAAAACCATATCGCACAAATTAGACAGTTTTGGCAGGAATGAGGCAGGTCACACAGAACTTATGACATAAATATAGAACATAGACCCATAGAGCAGAACATAATTATCCGCTGAACACAGAAGTAGATTTTTTAGTAACAAAACATCATATTTTGGTGCTAACACCCAATAGTAATAGATTCATGACAAATCGTAATATTGTAACAATCTCCGTGGAATAGTGATAGATCTATTACAAAAGTAATGACAAGGACCACACTGTTTACATTTACTAGTATCACTGTTCTGAGAAATGATGTTGACAGATCATAAGATAATAGTTTTGTTTGTGTGGTTGCTGGTTTGTAAAATAATTGTAAACATAAAATAAAAAATAAAATAATTTGATGTTGTGTCTTGTGTCGTGATAATCGTGATATGGTCGTGATCGTGATTTTCAATGTGAGATTGCCAGGAAGGATATGTCGTCGTCGAGTCGTTCTCGATGGTTTGAGTGCGAATATGAACCAACAAGAACACAGGACGATATTAGTCTGGAATGGACTCGATATTAGTATTTGTTTGCTCTCGGGAGTTTTGCTGTTTTTGCTGTTCGAGCAGGTATGAGAAAATCTACTAGGTGAGTCGATTTTCAACTTTGTGTATGTTGTGTACCTATTTATTGTCTGCTAATTTTGTATCTACCCGCTGGGGCCTTATTTTCGAATTGAAGGAAGGGGTACGTTCTATCATTCCCCTCATGTTTCTCTCCGTCTCTCGTGATCCATGGAGATAATCACCCCACAGTTCTCTCAGTAAACTTAAAAAAAAAAGGCTCCTGTACATATTACATTCACCTCTATTAGTTTCCATTACCTATTTCAATTCATATTCATTCTGTGACAAATTTTTATCAGGATATTCGTCTCTGAAACAATTGGGGATTCCCTGGGATTCCGCAGATTCCACTTGCTTCCCAGTGGCGTACTCGAATTTCGAAGCATTTTATGTTCAATTTTCAAAATCGAATTTCTCGTTTATGTGAAGACTTAGGAATAATCAAATATTTTAGTAATTTTTGTTAGACTCTCTCATATACAGGGTGTCCCTAGACCAGTGGGACAGTTAAATATCTTCTGCACCAATAGGAATTTTCAAAATATTATAACTCCACATCATATCGCATCATGAGTGCTATCTTCAGGAATGACTATATTTTATACGAGGGGCGCAAGGAAGGCTCACAAAATCGAACATCAATTTTTTCAAATGGAACACCCTGTATTTCATTGCATTTCCATATTCTCCTTGGAGAGCTGAATTCAACGACCTAGCACACTTGGGGTCTAGCGGGAATGATTTCCGAGATATAGGGTGTGGAAAATCGAGATTTTTCATTTTTGGGAATTTTTTGTGTCAAAACTATTCATTATTGGTCAAAATGGCTCACATGTCTATATCTTGACTTTTGATTTACTATTCATTCGTATTTACATTAAACAAATACAGGGTGGTGTAGAATTCTCAGTTTCAGTCGAAATTCTACACTACCCTGTATTTGTTTCAATTAAATACGAGTAAATAGTAAATCAAAAGTTAAGATACGGACATGTAAGCCGTTTTGACCAATAATGAATAGTTTTGACACAAAAAATTCCCAAAAATGAAAAATCTCGATTTTCCACACCCTATATCTCGGAAATCATTCCCGCTAGAACCCAAGTGTACAGGGTGATTGACTATGGATTTCACGACTTCAACAGCTGATATCTCGAAAACGAAAAAAGATATTTGAAATTTGGAGGAAGGTACTTGAATGAGATGTCATTTCCTTCTAGAAAATGTGTTCTCTGCTTGATTTTATCATTTCATATACAGGGTTCGTGAAAAAAAATTTTTTTTCCAAATGGAACCCCCTGTATATCATCGCATATTTCGAAAGAGCTACCTTTCCTGATTTCAAAGATATATACTTTTCATATATTCTATCGAGGGCTTGACGAAATATCAGCAAAATTAAATATTAATATGTGGTCCAAGTTAGCTATGGTTGAAATAGAATGAGATGATGAATAAGTGAATTGAGATTTGGCCAACATTCCAGTGACTCAAGTGCGCAAAATTTCGACAATTTTCTTACGATGCCATATCCACTGGAACAAAGAAGAGATATTTTGGAGTGCTATTTTTCAGTTAATAAAAATCTTGCTGAAACACTTACACTTATACTTACTTATATTTAATCTTTCAGATATGACAAGACAAAATTCAATCCGCTTCTCATCATCATCATAATTGAGTTTGTGGCATGGTCTAATTCTGAAATCCCTATATTTATTTTTTCTCAAGGTATGTTGAACAAAATAATAGCTGAAACCAAACTCTCTCACTGCATTTCTTATTGACCGTGAAGGATCCTTAACAAAATACTGGATTACAAGAAGTTCCTCGTCTTCGTTGTCTTGCCTTCTCACTATTCTCTTGATATTCGAACTGGAAGTTCTGTCAAATTTAGTAGCCAAATACTTTACATAATTTTTACTTGGTAATCTCCTGCCTGGATAACTCCTCATGAACTTATGAAGTGTTTCAGCAAGATTTTTATTAACTGCAAAATAGCACTCCAAAATATCTCTTCTTTGTTCCAGTGGATATGGCATCGTGGAAAAATTA